AAAGCACCAAATGTCGAATCTCATCCTCACAAACCCAAAGGATGCCCTGAATAACTCACTTCTGACTCAGGCATTCAGGTAATGCCTGGAGCGTCAGGTGGATTTAGAGATAAGATTTCTCCCTGGGAGTTAAATAATAAACTGGCCCAGAAATGTAGAGTGGCCAGAAGACGCAGGCTGGTGCTGAACTGCAGTGTTGATAGGGTGATAGTGGGCCACTGCAAAGGTGAGGGTGACATGAAGCACCATGCACAGAGACGGTACCCTCAAGGATGCTGCCTGAGCCAGGAGCAGAAGGCCACCTGCCAGGACCCTGGAGAAGCACAGATGACCTCACAGGACCAAATGACCTCAGCTCCGCTGCCTCTGTGGGGACAGTGCTCTTCTGGCTACCAGCAATTCCAAGCCCTGCTGTGTGTTACATTCATTAAAAGAAAAAAAAATACCCACGAGTGCCATCCCGGACCAAAGATGGGACTGGGCATGGTGGCGCACACCTGTGATCCCAGCACTTGGGAGGCTGAGGCAGGGGGATCACCATGCATGCAAGCCCAGCCTGTCTCAAACAAGAAAACAAATAAAACAAAAATCCTGGGCTTATCTGTGTACGGGCACCAACTGACGGCCTCTGGTGATTCTAACATGTCCCAGTTGGATAATTGATAAAAAGAGTGTTTTTCTGGTAAGGTGAGGGGAAAATCCCCTAACAGAGTTTTAAAAACATCTGATGGGCACCTTACAAATGAGCAACCTGAGCTGCAGGGACGGGGGCAGCCTGCTCTGGGCTGCGTGACGAGGATGATGCGGTCTCGGGGCTGGGATGGAGCCTGACCGGCTCTTTTACGACACACCCACCATGTTCTTGCCGTGACGTCTGTGGACACATGACAGAAGCCAGGGACATGCACAGCTTGCGCTGGGAAGAGGGAGCCGGGGGAGAGCAAGGCAGGAAGGGCTTCCAGAGGCGCCCAGATGTGGGGGGTGGGGTGGGGAGTGGGGGTGGGAGGGTGAAGGTAGAGTGTTGGGGCTGGGGGTGTCCTTAAGCCAGGATGTCAGGAAGGCTGGGGGCGGGTCTCTGTTTCACATGTCCTCAGCTTTTACTGCTGAAACGCTAAATATAAACAGATAGAATACACAAACATTCTTTGGGGGTCTTGAGGATAATTTTTAAGAGCTTAAAGGATTCCTGAGACCAAAGAGGCATGGTGAGACATGATATAAGATGTGAGCACACACATGTTATATGTGTATAGCTGCAGAAGACAAGAATGAATGCCTAAGTGGGTTCAGATTGCCAAGAGCATTGAATAGCATGTTGAAAATGGGATTTCAACTATTTTGGATCTCATATCACCTTTAAAGTCATATTTACCCACAATACATGTGTAGTTTTAAGTCATTATGAGGCACTACTATAGAAAATACTAAAAACCACAAAATACAAGAGTTTTAAGCCAGGCATGATGGTGCATTTCTGTAATCACATCATTCTGGGAGGCTGAGGCAGGAGGATGACAGGTTTGAGCCCAGGTCAGGCAATTTAGTGACTCATTGAGACTCTGCTTCAAAATTAAAAAATGAAAAAGGGTTGGAGATGATGTTCAGTGCAAAGGCCCTGGACTCAATTCCCTGTGCCATGAAAAAGATATTTAAAAAGTGAGATAAAAATAAAGCAACACTTTAAAATGATTCTTTGTATTCTTGCTAAATACACTTTTTGACCACAAACAGAAATAATAAAATTAGTAAATACACCTCTTGATTTTTCTTAAAAGCATCTACTACTTTGTGACAAAGCCTTTTCAAATTCTAAGTCTATTTTATCATGAGTTCAATGTTAATATCCGTCAGAGTGGAAAAAAGCACTTTAAAAAGACAGAAAACAGAAGACAAAATGATCACTAGCCGGGCCTCCAAATTCCTGATTAATTACATTTCATTTCCAAGTATCACACACGCAAAAGTTTTTAACAAAATAAATTCCTGTCTTCTTTGATGTCAGTTTAGTTGGGAAAAAAGATGGTGCTTCCCGCTAAAGGTTCAAAACCCCTTGCAAATCTTCATCTGGTAATTTTCAAAGAGAACCAGTTGAGATGTCCGAGTGAGAGTCATGGGGGCGCCACTGCGGACCTCCAGTGCTGGGTACGGGGGGATGGAGCCCCCGCCCCCGCCGAGGACCCTGCATTCTGCCGAGACTCCCTACTGCCCGGCTGACAGCCAGTGACCCTGGTGGTGACACAGGAGAGCAGCGTTGGGCCACATATCAAATATTAGCAGAGTGTGATTTATGCAATAGCTCTGCAGGGCTCACGAGGGCCAGCAAAGTGCTACATCAGCTTTTTAAAACAATAAGTTCAGCGGTCTCCTATTTTGTCTCTGTACCACACAGTGGCTTACACCCTGCTTTGGGCTCTGGGAGCGACGACACACCACCAGGGAGATCTAGAGGGAAAGCAGAATGAGGTCTATGTGAAGGACAGTGACAGACTGACTTGCAGCCTGGCACGGTGGTGCACGCTTATAATCCCAGCTCAGGGGAGGCTGAGGCAGGAGAACTGTCACAAGTTAGAGGCCAGCCTGGGCTACACAGGAAGTTCAAGGCAACTTGAACTAGAGTACGTAGTCTGAAACACACACACACACACACACACACACGTGCATGCACACATGCACACAGCAACTGACATGGTGCATATACTTTCTGGGGCCCCCACCCCAGAGAGCCACCACTCCAGACTGGCACTCTGGTCACTGCCACCCTCGGTGCCCTTTGAACCAGCTCTGTTCCTGTCTCTGTGCCACTCTTCTGAGTCACAGATAATTTGCTAATTATAAGTCACGTCCTATTTTAGAAATCCTGATGACTTATGCTCAAATGCTATGTTCATCGCACTGATAGAAAAAGTGTGCTTTCTCACGATCGATGAGAAATAGGAAGAAAAATGGAGAAAAGAGGAGAAGTTCATTTGGAGACTCTGTGATCCTCAGGGCAAGCGTTTCCCCAGCTCGGACACACGGCCCAGTGCCTGCCGGAGGGGCGAATTCAAGGACAGCGGGATGTTCTTCACAAACCACGCCTCCGCCTGCTGGGAGGATGGCACCGAAAGCCAGAGGGAAGAGGACAGAATGAAAGAGCCTTATGAAAAGTTCACCATCAAAAGCGGCAGCATCTTACCTAGAACGAAGTCAGAACACAGTCGTACACGTCGTGGCCATGGCGGGTCAAGGATGGACGGCCTGTGACCCTGGCCCCGGGAGGTGGCGTTGCTGGGCCTGTCGCGGCGCTCAGCTTGTGTAAGGACACGCCATGATGTCCGTGTGATGGAGAAACCAACCAGCCGCACGGTCCTCAGAACTCATCGCTGTCACTACGCGGTGCACGGCCGGACCTTGCCTGGACCTACGTGAGGGTGGCGCCGTGATAAAGGGTCACTTCTCCAGTGTGGACAGATCTCTTGCACTCTTCTGCATTTGATTCTTTGGGTGAATATTATACAATAATCCTATAAATTATGTGCCCTGTATTAAGTTTATGCCTTTGTAAACCCCGACTACAACAGATAGCCGTGCACAAAAGCCAAATGTACGCAAACATACATTCATCTGCATCCACATCACGTGTGTGTGTTGGATTTTGTTCACGGTTCTTGGCTCATAACTCGCTCTCCAAAGCCGGACACAAAATCTAGAATTGCTCGTCTCTAAATTGGGTCATAGAACCTAAAAGTATACCTTAGTGTTCCCCTGCCTTTCTGCCTGGGAGTTGGCCATGAAGACATTCTCTGACCCATCTTGTGTCATTGCAGATCCTAAAACCCCCATTTAAGAAGGGGTGCTGCCCCACGTCAGGACCAGACTGGACAGACAGGCCTTGCTGGGCCTCCCCAGCCGGCTGTTCGTGTCAGAGCACACCCTTCCGCTGGGTCACGCTTGTGTATGGTTGCCCACACTCCAGTCACCGCTCAGCAACAGCCTCATAAACATGCCTTGCAGAGAGCTGGGCGCTGGGAGGCTCCCAAAGGCCAGTGTGGCCGGAGGGGGGTGTGGCAGCCCTGTGCCCGCCTCCCATACCTCACCGTATGTAACTCTTCATCGCTACCCTTTATGATAAACCAAGACAGCTTTCCCAATCAAGTAAATCAATTGAGCCCGAGGAAGGGGTTATGGAAAACAAGACAAAGCCAGTACATCAGCACAAGTGCAGACAACCTGGGCTTGTGACTGGCAACTTGAGTGCCCGGGACAGGGGCCCAGCTCTGGGGGCTAACCCCTGGCCTGTGGCATCCAATGCCATCTCCAGGAAGATAGTATCAGAATGAATTAGATGACACCTAGCTACCGCAGAATTAGTTGTGTGCTCGCTTGCTAGTGGGAAAAAAATTCTTACTTGGGAACTGAAGAAATCTATCTTGACTGCTGAGGGCTGAGTGAACAATGAGTTTATAATTTCCTATTTCTGGTGGCTATTACAGCCGGGCCACCTCTTCTTCTCTATTTTATTGTTTTGATTTTTGAGGCTGAGTTTCATTACATGCATCAGGCTGGCCTTGAACTCACTATGGAGCCCAGGCTGGCCTTAAACTTGTGGTGATCCTCCTGCCTCAGCCTCCTGAGTGCAGGGATTATGGATGTGCACCACCATGCTGGGATTTTTTAGGCCACTTCTGCTGAAGTGTCTGATCTGGGAATTCTCACGCCACTTGTCCTTCTTCTTAACATCTTCTTCCCCCGTTCAGGCAGGCTCAGGGCAGGAGTCTCCAGGATAGGGACCTGGTGTCTCATCTGAGCAGGCACAGGTGGCCTTTCCTACCCGAGGCCCACATCTGGGATAGGCTCCTACTCTCATCTAGAGCACAGATTATGTGCAGAAAGCTACTCACCACCCACAGTAGAGACACACCCACAGCCCAGGGCGGGTGGGTTGGAGGTATGGAAAGCTGTCTTCTTATTGAGTGTATCTTCTTTCAGGAGCCATCAATAGAAAACATCAACATCTGTTCTTCAATAATTTATTTTTTTAATGTTAACTCTGTGAAGTTACATTTAGGAAAACTTGAAGAAATCCAAAGGTAGGCAGCATTCTATGAGAAACAACTAAATGTGCAAATTTTCAAATATTCTCTTTAAGTATAAATAATTCCATCTCTTCACACTGAGAATGAAAATATCGGCAGACACAAAATACGGAGCCACAGTTTTGAAAGAACTACGTGGAAACACTGGAGTTTATTTCCTATCTTTGGAAAGACACTGGGAAGATCTAGGGCAGGAGAAAAGACATCTCAAATGATCAGGAAAGGCTATGCAGTTACGGGCGATAGATATTTTTGGATCGTAATTTCAGACCCAATTCCCTCCCCCCACCCCAAGGAAAACAGGGCCCTACCGCAACGCACAGAGAAAGAGCAGCTCAAAGACACAGAACTGTCCTCAGCTCGCAATTACCGGGCTTGTCCCGTGGCTGAGGTGTCACTGGACACTGAGTCCCTCCCCGGCACCCCGTTAGCACAGCAAGGGACAGCATCACGAAAGGCCTCCCGGTCCCCAAGCTTGTCCCTGCTCCTTCCCTATCTTCTCTCCCAGCGGGGAGGATCAGAGAACAGTTTCTGTCACACAGCTGGAGAGGCTCGAGATGCTGGGTGAGACTGTCCTAACTCACTCTTGAAGCCTTTCCTTCCTTCCCAGGGAGACAGCAGCAGTGAATCAAAGAGGCCACCCCCGCCCCCAACCGAGGTGAGGCACTTGCTCGATTCCAGAAGGTTCCCCAAGTAAATATGTCAGCCCACGGAGGCAAGGCAGAAGAAACGTCTTCCCTTAAATAACTGAAGTTTGCAATACAATAAATAAAGTGAATTATACCAATGCTGCTAGGGCAGCATTTCAATATAAAAAAAAATCCCTCATACATAATATAAGGGTATATTATTCATGTATACATTTTTACACACAATAATTCAAGGTGGTCTCTTCAGAAGGAAGACAGTGGTAACCCAGAGTTAGACACTGTCCCCCAAAAGCGTTCCTGTGAAAGAATGTATACGGCAAAGAGCAGCTTGCTGGCTTTGTCCTGTGGAAACGTTCTGATTTTCTCCAGAACCTCGCTTGGCAGGGAAGCAGGCAGCGGCGCACCCTAACCCCTGCCGATCTCTGAACAGGTCTGTGTTTCCTGAGCCCCCTCGGGCTTTCCGCAGACTCCCGGTGCCTGCCGGAGGACTCAGCGTCTGTCCTCAGGAGGCCACCAGGATGGCTGGGCCTCCAGGCCCCCATCTGTCCTTTCCCTTCTCTCACAGGAGGAGGCAGCACTCCTGTGGGCGGGGTACGGGCTCACACCACATCTGGCACACATTCCAAGTCCAGAGACGTCGGGCGGCCTGCTCGGTAGGAGGTAAGCAGCCCTGGGCCGATCCTGACCCCGTGCACTGCCGGCCTTCAGCTCTGCCTGCTGTCAGGCCAGCCGGGCCCAACCCGAGTGTCACAGGCAGGACGAAGAGCTTATCTTCCCTCCTTTGCTCAAAGACACCCTCCAGGCCCCTGTTCCAGGGCCGCTTCCCATGGCACCCAGGGGACGGGAGTGTAGCACCATGCTGGGTCCTGCTTCCGCTTAGCCGTACATCTGCTTGAACTGGAAGCACTCGTTACAGTAGCCGTTGCACTTGGAGTTGCCGAAGTGATCGCAGGCCGGGGCCCGGCAGCGCTGTTTGGGGGGCTCTTCGGGAGCGGGGTCCCCCCGGTGGGCCGCGAGGCCCACACGCTGGCTGAGGTGCTGGCACTCCATGCAGAGCTCCTCGCTGCGGCAGGCCAGGATGTTCTTACAGGAGGCCCGGGCGCACTTGGGCCTCGAGGTGCCCTGGGTGGTCCGAGGCAGGTCTCTGTGCTGGCTGGATCTCTGAGGGAAGGACAGAGAGCACCGTGAGACCTCGAGGGACAGTGCGGATTCTACCCAGGGTCTTGCTCTGAGGAGGGACAATGGGCTGTCAGGGAAGGTTTCTTGCCGAACCCAACAAAGCCCACCTGGCCCCGGGGTGGAGGCCTTGGGAGGCCTGCAGGTAGGAGTGGCACTCTTCCCTTGGGATTTATAACCATGCTCTGATGAGATAGCTCCCACCCCTTCTGCACAAGACAGGTGACATTCAGTCGTGTTTGTGTCCCTGATCTGCCATTAAGCGGGGCTTCTGCCTCATCTCAGCTCATGACAAAGGACTATAGAAGAAGTCTGCTCTGTAGATGTCGGTGCTTCTACTAGAAACCAAAGGTGTTTCTGATCAATGCCTGGCTTTCGGATCCTTGAAGACATTTTATTCTACGGCTTTTTGCACTGGCTTTTTTTTTTTGAGATAGGGTCTCGCTGTGCAATTCAAGCTGGCCTTGAGCTCGCTTTATAGCCAGGCTGGTTTCAAACTCACAACGATCCTCCTGCCTCAGCCTCCCAAGTGCTGGGATTACAGGCGAGCGCCACCACGCCCAGCTTGGCTTTTTTTAAAAGTGAACTCTTGAGTCCACTTAGACCATGCAAATCAACAGCAGAGCTTCCAACCCGGGAGCCACACCAGCATGGACGCCTCGGCCAGATCCTGCAGCAGACTCTCCTGAGCAGCTCTCTGTCATGGGGAAGCCGAGCCGGCGGGGAGCAAAGCCCACCTATCACAGCCCTGCAAGGACAACCTGACTGGACGCGGGGGAAGTGCCTCAGCGCATCTCACCAGTTGCTCCTCAGTGCTCTTGGCCTCCCGAAACCGCTGGTTCTGAGCTTCGATGAAGCACTTCTGACAGTACCCTTCGAACATGGTGCTTCCGAGGGTGCCGCATTCCCTGCCCAGGCACGGAACGGCGTTCTGGAACCTGGAGCCGGTGGGACTGGCTTTCCCCGAGGCAGCAACGAAATCTACAAGAGAGGGGACGCTGTTCAGCACCGGAGCGGAGCCACAACAGACACCGAGTCGCCTGTACTTTTAGCAAAGTGACAATGTGACGACTGGGTCAGCTCTGGCTTTACACATCCTCCCTCTGAACCTGCTGCTAGCATCAGGACGGAACAAACCCACAGCGGCCGGGAACCGCCCGCCCTTCTCCCAAGCCACAAATGCTTCCCCGCAGTGCCAGTGGAGACCTCCCTCTTGCCAGTTACTACTACTCAGAGCGAGTCTCTCTACTATTTTATTTATTTACTTATGTGTTTACTGGTCTTTTTGAGAGAGGGTCTCACTGTGTAGTTCAGGCTGGCCTTGAGCTCACTATGTAGCCCAGGCAGGTCTCGAACTCACAACGAGCCTCCTCCCTCCGCCTCCCAAGCGCTGGGATTCAAGGCGTGCCCACTGGGTAGTTTCCCTATTAGACACGGAAGTTGCAGAAGTCCAGTTTAAAGTGTGTCTTATAAATGGCAACTAATGGCCTTATGAAAACCAACTCTGTCTACAAGGCAATTTGGGGTTTGGTGCCCAGCTGCCATCCTCTACTGGTTCCTCCACCCACGTGCAGCTGGCAGAGCCGCCACGACCATCCCCAGGCGCCAGCCGTGGGACAGCACGGGGCGCTGACTCCTCGGCCTGACCACCCAGAGGGGCGGGCGCCTTGTCCCGAGCTCAGGAGCCAACCCCGTCCGAACACGAACCCTGCCGCGCACTCACGTTTGTTTTCTTTGTACTCTATGAAACACAGCGTGCAGAAGCCTTTGTTTTCCGGAGTCCCGAAGTACGTGCAGCCAGCTTTCCTGCACTTGCTGGTCCCAGCCCTGTCCCCGGGAGTCCGCTCGGCCTGCGAGAGGCAGCCTGAGGGGGTGTCGTTTCCAGCTCTGTGACAAGAATGCGGGGAGACACTCTGCATGAGCTGCGAGGGGTCGGACTTCGACCTCTGGTGACAGGAAGAGAGGACGCCGGAGCCGAGGCTGGTGGACTCCGTGGTAGTCCTTTTGAAGCAAGAGCTGCAGATCCCATTAAATGTCCTGGTGGCATCCTGGAGGCAAGCCCGACACTTTCCGGGATCCAAATGCCTGGTGGCATCTGCAGTCTGGCTGGCGTTCAGCTGCCGGGCGTTGTGGCATCGCTCACAAAATCCATTGTGCTGCACGTTCAGGGTGAAGGGGCAGCCCGGGCTCCTGCACTTCATGGCCGTGGTCTCGCTGAACAGGAAGAGGCTGGGGGCTGTCGGCGGGGCGGAGTGAGGGCCGCTCGCCGGCTCCTCGGGGCGCCAGGCTGCGGGCTCGTAGGCTTCTCCCCTAGACGCCCCCAGAGCCATGCCCGGGAGCCCCTCCGGGCCAGGCTTGGGGTTCAGCTTTGGGAGTTTGCTTTGGTTCTTTGGATGCCTCGCCGAGCACTCGTGGCAAAAAGGCTGGGTGTTCACAGACATGAAGAAAGGGCAGTTGGGAGTTTCACATTTTACATCCATGAGAGAAAGCTGGGGAGCGGCGGGCTCCAGGGGGTTCTGGGGGCGTGCCCCTCTCCGCCCCTGCTCATTGTTTTCCTGCCATTTCTTGTACTCATGCTGAACAAGTTCGAAGTAGTCATCTACCAGATTTATTTCTTTGGGAAGATTAGCTTCGTCCAACCTGAAGACCCAAACGGGGAAAGATGAGACTACACAAAACGGTGGCCATACACCCCAGCATTAGCTCCTCAGAGTTCTCAAGTGCGGACTCACTGCAAGGCCTGAAACGCAGGCCCGGGTTCACGGTGTTTCCTAACATGTTCTCCGGGAAAGCACAGTCTCACACTTACCAACTTTGTGTGTCTATACAAAATTATGGATAAATCAAAAAATAAAAAAGATCCTTGAGCCGGGTGCGGTGGCGCATGCCTGTAATCCCAGCACTCAGGAGGCTGAGGCAGGAGGATCACTCCAAGTTTGAGGCCAGCCTAGGCTACAAAACGAGCTCAAGGCCAGCCTGAACTGCAGAGCGAGACCCTGTCTCAAAAAAACAAAAAACAAAACAAAAAAAAACAAGACCAAACAAACAAACAAAAAAAGATCCTTGGGGCTTGGGGGTAGTTGTGGTACAGCACTTGCCTAACATGCAAGAGACCTTAGGTTCTGTCCCTGGCATTACAAAAATACCAAAGAAAAATAACAAACCCAAACAAAAAAAACATGAACTCAAGCCAGGGGTCCTTTGTGAAGAGCTCTCTTCCTCTTGACTATCTATCGCGCCTTTAGCAAGTGATTTTCGACAACTAACTTCTCAGGATCAAATTTCCAGTAAAACATTCCTTGGGGTATGTATGCGGGACTGGTCCACTTTACAGTGCAACCAACTTTGGCGCTTTGTGTTCTAGAGTTTGCTGGGTTTTTGTTTTGGTTTGATTTGGTTTTGGTTTTTTTTGAGACAAGGTCTAGCTACACAGTTCAGGATGGCCTCAAAATCACTCCTCCTGTCTCAGCCTCCCAAGTGCTGGGACTATAGGCGTGCGCCACCACACCTGGCCTGGAGTTTGCTGTTCTTAATTTTACTTTTGTCTATTCTCTACTAAGAGGTCTCTAACACGAGTAATGAAGAGGCAGACACACCCACAGAGGCTGTTTGCTGTTGGCTCTGTGGCTGGGCCATCTCCACTGGGAGAAACGGATTCCCTGTGCCTTCACTGTGGTCCCACGCATTCTATGTTCTCAGAAGCAGGCCCCCACCTCCTTAACCTAAAGCCAGGGCTTGCAGCTTGGACACAGGTACAATGCGGACTGTCACATAAACACACTCTGCAGCCCAGTGTGTGTCTGTCCTGACCGAGGAGCCAAGAGGAAAAGGATTTTTGCTTCCCATAGTTCTGAATAGCTCTTATTTTCAATATGTACTACAGCAATTAGGACAAATATGTGGACACATTTTTAAAACTGACAGTGTTGACTCTCAGCGTTCAGATATCCTGGAAAATCACATTGTTCTGCATTTGAAACCAAAGCTGGCTTTGCCTTGAGTGATCCTCTCTGCCTCTTTAAATCTATTTCCTATTGGAGGAAACAGGTTTTTTACATTTTACTGTTGCGCTTTGGGGCAGAGCCGCCTATATGGCTAAAGTAAAGGCAGTTACAGATGACAGAGGAAAAAAATCAACCGCTTACTTTGCAGCATTAATCAGATGCGTGGTGCCGTGGTCCCAGCCCTGGACTGGGATTTCTATCACCATCAAGTACTCCTTTAAGAGCTTTTCCTTCATCTCATTTTCAGGATCTGTCAAAAAGTGGATTTTTAAGTCTTCGAACCTTCCGCGGTCTCTGTTAACAAGGGGCACGGCACGGATTTCTGAGGGAAAAAAATAGCATGTAAGTAAATATTACTTTCCCCCAGGGGGTTGAATATAAAGCTGTATGTCTGTATACAGTGATTAAACTCTGAAAACGCAGAAAGTGTATCTCTTAAAGAGCAGAAAAGCGTCAAGCAGTCACAGTTAAACCCATTTGGGAAAACAAAGTGCTTTGAACTCTAATATAAAACACACTGTTTTGCAGACACTCACAGCATGTTGACCAGCCAGATGTTAACCTCTGTTAACCACTGGATCTTACTGGTGAAACTCCCACGTTTCAGAGCCAGGTGGGCCTGAGTTCAAATTCTGCCTATGTTACCGTCAAGCTACGTGACAGTAGATGGTTTATTGAACCTCTGCCAGGTTCAGCTGCTGCAGCAGTAAAATGAAGCTCCCTGTGCCTGCGTCTTGCAGGGAGGCGCCGAGGATGAATCCAAAGGAAATAATGTACCTTGGGTCTAGAGTGTTGAGCACAGGGGCACTTCCATCACAACACGAGCCTGGGAGCTGACCTGATGGACACTGGCCCACTTGGGGACTAGCACTGCACGGAGGCCTCTTACACCTTAACCTGTGCCCTAGTAATAAGACTAGAGCTAGGAAGTACTTCCCTAGTCATATTCCTGAAGATACAGGATGTGGCCAGTACTGAGACGGCACTGCGACTACAGCTACGTAATCCCAGTCAGAAACTTCTGAGCAGATTTTACAGCACTTCAGTTTAGGGATGCTCAACTGGTAAACTTAAATATTTTAAAAACCTGAAAAACTCAAACGCAATCTGCAACATCTCGCCCCAAGCATCTGCGATAAGGCATACTCAACTTGTACTAAGCAAATGGCATAATGATATATATTTCAACAAAAAACAACACGCTCAAATAAGACTACCTCAATAAGGAGCAAAAGGGTCAGCCTTGACGTCCCAGTCGCTGACAAAAGTTAGGAATGTGCGCAAGTGTCGTTTTCTTACCAGGCCCACTGTCCTTCAGTGTCACCAGAGGAACGAAGTGGTGGCTGTCATAGCCGAGGACGATGGGGTATCTGTAGCATTCCTGGGCAGGCCAGTGGAGAGGCAGGTAGATCCCACCCACTTTCAAAGGGGCAAAATTGGAGCCTGATTCCAGACTTCTCAGCATCTTGTCTGCTCAAGAAAAGAAAAAGAAAAAGGTCACCATGTGCCTTTCTTCAAAGGCCACCCAGCATTGTCCCGTACAACTCCGGGAAGGAGGGCTCTTCCTAAGAACCAAAGCAGTGCGGTTGCATAGTGCAGAAATGCAAAGAAGCGACCTGAGGGCCTCTCACCTGCAAGGACGATGATGGGCCTTCTGAGGATGTTGCAGAGCACAAATATGTGAATTTCCTCCAGCGAGCTGTACTGAAGCCCACAGCGGGCCGCCGGGGAGTCCGTGGATGCCATTCTAACAAGGTTGTCCCATTCGTCATTCCAGTTCTAAGGGGAGAGCGCAGAGGGGGGATTGAATGCATCTGCATTAGAAAGCCCTTCTGAGATCATGCCCTTGTATAACTCAGCTTATTGCTTCCCCTTTCTTGAAGTCATCGTTCAAATGACCATCCTGTTTTCCCCATTTTGGTTTTTCTTCCTTTACTTTTTCCCACTACAAAGCAAACTCAAGGCTGGGGACAGCACCTGCTTTCAAAAACTCCCTGATGAGGCTTAACACTGAAGCCCCCCATCAACTGTCCACAAAAGTCCCAAACCTGTGACCCAGACTGCTGAGGCGCAGGCTTTCTCAGGGCAGCATGTGACGGGCAATCAAAGTGAAAAGCAACAGAAAGGCCCGTGGAATGGCCATGCGTGGGAGGTCTGCTGCTAAAGGTGCCAGAGCCAGAAATCTGCTGTTGAGGAGTGTCTGGGTGCAGGATGAGCTTGGGATTCATCCCATGGGAGGTTCTGGGGTTTTCCATCAAGTGTGTTTTGCTTAGCCAAGCCCATGTGACCCAGTCAGTCATCTGCTCCGCTGGAAGTAGGAATGGCTCAGAATACCCTTTACCCACACGGCGCTGTCCGCAGATGCTTCCCCCAGGAACAGAACGCACCCGAGTATCGTAGCAGAGCCCTGTCTCCACGAATTCCTGAGATTTCAGAGACTCGAGCTGCCAGCGGAACTTGAAGTTGCGTGTATCTGTCTCCTTGAGCGTGCTGAAGAGGGCTTTCCTCAGAACCAGGTCTGTGTCCTGGACACCCCACATGTACTGACAAGTGGCATGCATGAGGCAATTGCCGTCACCTAAAGACAGAAGAGTCACAAGGAGCAAGGTCAAGCCATCTGCACGTAAGGATCTACAAAGGTGTTCCGAAGGGACCGGCCCAGCTGCAGTCACAGGGGCTGAAGGGCTTGATTTCTTAGTCAAGGACCCACTGATAACACCGCACAGTGTGATGACAGTGTAAGGAAAACACCATTCTCTTCAATGAAAATGGCATCAACAGGGCAAACGCCAGAGGCCCTCGGTTCCAGGGCTGCTCTGCTCCTAACTGCTTTAGGCGACCCTGGGGGAAACTGATGAGTCTCTGGAGAGTTTCCCTCTTTGAGAAATGAGGGCTCTGGGTAGTGGAAGCCTGCAGTTTACCTCAGTAACAGTCCTTGGTTTGCTGGCTAAGGCACCAGCACCACTGCTCTAAGCAAGGGCAGTCAGGGCAAACCAGGAAGCAGGCCTGGCTCAGCCTCCCAGACAGAGATGTTCTGGATATGACTCAGTGGTACATGACCGGACCATTCCACTTTAGCTTCGGGGACCTGGGATTTTCCTCTCCTGGTTTGTACCTACAGCCTGCTGGCCCTGCCCCTGGCCCCACCAAAATGCATTATGGGAACCTGCTTGTGAGCAACTAGCAAGTCCTTGTTAGAAGTTAAAAAGCACCCAGATGCCAAAATTTTAACATAATTGTGTTTAGAGCTGGCATTTTGAGAAAAAGACTGGTCAATTTTCTTCTACTAATTTGTGAGTTTTCCAGGCTAAAACTCAATTCGATAGGGCTTCTTTTTCAATCCCCAAATAATAATAAACATATGGGGGGAATATTCAATAGAAGAAAAAGTTAACTTCTTAATCCCATGTTCAAGTACAAAATGAATTTTATTTTTAAAAGAGTTGAACTGTTCTTTTACACTATTTTATAGTAATGCAATAAAGCTTTTTGAAATTTTACCAAATTTTAATCATAGTCACACTATAAAAAAACTTTTTAAAAAACCCTCAAATACATATCCACAGTCAACATTCCTTTAATGTACGCACTTAGAAAAAGTAGCACAGTATTCACACAAATGAACAAAAAGATCACCCAAGCCTTGGGTCCTGGCAGAAATGTAGCAATGATTGCATTCTGTTGAAATTTCCCCTTTGCAAAATCTAGAGCAAAGATAAGGCTTTTTTTTTTTTCGTCTTCTTGTGCTTACTTTCAGTTCTTTATTGAGATGCACCAGTATAAAATTCCCTAAGTAACATCTGGAATTCCCCAGTGCTAAGTTATTTGACTAGCAATTGAGCAACAGCTATTGTACGTTTTGTTCTGGTGTGTAGACATTTACACTGTGAGCTGCACGCTGGACTTTCCAAGTGGGTGTGGTCAGGGTGAGCTGGAATAGGGCTACTCATTGTACAAGTGAAATCGCGGCAGCCAATAGACGATGGAATTTTTCACACAAAGTTTCAATTTTATGCCACCTACTCCCTTCCTCACTCACCGCCGCAGTCTCAGATCCTCAAATGCAAACTTGTGAATCACCCCCCCCCAACCAAAAAAAACAGAACACTGACTTTGAAGAAACCTTCCTATGGAGGGAAGCATTAAAACAAAAAAAGTGCTAGAAATCAGACAAGAAAAGCCACTTGTTTCTTCCTTCCTTTGAATATCATTTCTTCCTTTTTTCCTAATTTTAATAAATGTTATTCAAAGTAGGAAAATCAGGATTTGGGGACTAAAAAAATCCTTTTTTCCCAGGAGAAGTTCTCAAAATATACTCGCTGTTGTAGCATGAATCCTTGTTGATTTCAATGACATATGGTTGCAAAATAAATGTCTCTTCTTTATATTCTTTTCATAAGGAAATAAAGGATTTCCTGCCTTAAGGCAACAGTGCAGAACGTGGGTTAATTCTGTTCATGATAATAAGGTTTCCTCCTTTCTCCCCTACTTCTAATTCTCTTTTATAACAAAAATGGGACAGAGTTGAAACCACAGACTGTCTGTCAGGTACATAAGCCCCTTGATGAAGACCCAACATAATTATCTACTTCTATGCATCACTTGATTTAATGCCAAGAACAAGGCAGACAATAGCTAGCTCCAGTTTGCTTTGAACATCTGTTTCTAAGAGTCTAAGCTTCATAAATACAGGTAAGATGTTCAGGTGATGTACAAGAGCCCTCAGAATAAAAACAAACAAAAAAGCTCCACCTCCACCCATCACTTTATGTTACTTAAGTCAAAAATAGCCAAAGCTAATGCACCAATTAAGTTATTAAGTTAATGTTCTTATCATCATCATTGCCAACAAGGATTTTCTGCTCTTGGAGGTATTATTTTGATCAGGATAGTTTAGTCACGGATGTAAAGACCTAAAATTGCTGCTCTTACCTGGGCGATATACATTTAACTGATTTTGTACAATCTACTTACTTATTCTAATATCTACATCCAAAAAAAAAATGCAGAATTTTATACCTGCATGAGACAGTATGTGCCTGCGTGTTTTGGTCTGTGCACATACATATTCTTGCTCAAAGGAAATGATTAAAATATGAAACAGTAAAGCTTGGAACAGGAAATAGCTATTAGTGATATAGTGGTACAGGACCACAGGCAACAGGACCCAGACAAGGGGAGAGACAATTTCAGATCCTCAACAGCTTTAACCCACGAGACGTACAACCCCAGAATTACAAGGACATCACAGGCATTTTCTAGGAATGGCACAAAACAACAGCGACATCAGTTTTCAACCCCATGCTTTCCTTTCGAACTTAAACCTTTTAAAATATTTCCATTACTGGCCAGGGGAGGGCATTGTACAGATGACTAAACAGCTGCAAGAATTAGAAACATTAATCGCCTAACTGGGGCACGGTGTTTAGAAAAACACATTTCCCAAGCCTCAAAGCCCTGTGCAAAGGAGCACACTTATTTAGAAAATATTCTTCAAGAAAACACTCACTGAGTAAGCTTGCTACTATCACACACCCCTAGAGCCTGTATGCTAAGGTGGCTCTGATTAGTGCAACTGAAACTTCTGGAATGGGGAGCCTGCACCACAGGAGATGTCAGGACAATCAGAGCAGGTCTTACCGTTGGTTTTGAGCGCCACAAGCTTCCTGACTTCGCGGCACCAGTTGAGCTTCTTCTGGCTTTCCAGGGAAGCCTGGATGTTTCTGTCGATGAGGGCTCTGTGGATGATCTCCCGGAACTGGGGGCAAAACTGGCAAGTTCTGAACATTTCCAGGGTGCACCGGTGCATGGTTTTAAAATGGTAAATGATCCCATTCGTAGGCTTGAAAATGTCTTCTGGAGTTCTCTCTCGTATCTTCACAGCTTTCCGCATGTTGCTCAAATACAAAGCTTGAGGAAGGAGTTGTTCAGCCATGGTGCCTAGGATGCCTGGAGAGTGGGGAGTAGAGCGCATTCCGTTAGCCTTTGATGCTACGCCTATATACCTGCCGCCAGGAAACCCCACTGTTTGATCTTGTCATTACCCTGATCTGTAGGCAAAGGATCTTAGTCACCTCTGCTCCCCGGATACTAGCCGGCCCCAGAGATGAACTCACACTGGACTGTTTTAAGTTACATCACTTTTAAAGATTAGTCTAAGTAAGAGAAGGAAGGTGGAGGGTAGGGCTGAGGAGGAGGGGAATAACCCGAGTTTTCAGCAGTAGCTGTCAGGGAGTCAAGCTTGTCTGGCAGTGGCAGGTCCCAGGCCACAAAACCACTGAAGCTCCCGCGGAAGCTGCCTTCTGAGGCCACCTGGAATGGCCACTGGTTTTCCGATGCACTGGATGCCAACTAAGGGCACCACAGAGTCTGGATGAGCCCAGCTCCTCCCCGCGAGACCCCCACCATTCAACCCTCGCCTTTGGGCAAAGCATCAGTTCTTCTTTTAAACACCCCCTCCCCGTGCTGCTAGGGCAGTGACTATTTTGGGAAAGATCCTATTAACTTTAGCCTGTCACTTAGGCTACCGCTTGGTGTTTCCTGCTTAGCCCCAAAATAAAATATAAAGAGTTTATTCATGAAGTTTCTTATACTATTTACAGTTAAAACTGAATAACCAACCAACAAACCTATTTCCGAGAAGCTGTGCACCTTCAAGGGTAAATGGGCAACACTGGCTCAGAACCTTGCTACCGGGCTAAACGCACAGCATGACAATGAGAAACAGAGCAATAACGGGTCAGCGGCTTCCACGCTTCCAAGAGCAGACACTGGAGCTCAATTATTTTGACTCATCCGTCAGCCACACTTTAGCGCTGCCCTGCAGGTACCAACATTCGGGTGCATTTCCTCCAGCCTGAAATTGGCAAGCTTAATCAATAGGTGGAGGAAATGAAACTCTGGAAGCCGGCAGGGAAGAAGTTTTGGGCACGCAGGTCAAATGAGAGCGGAGCAAGGTCAAAGACCAGCATCCACCGCCCACTAAGGTCCCCTGCGCTCTGCTTCACGAGCCCTTCCGTGGCCGCCTCACTGTCCTCCCTTGTTTTCAGGAACACAAGTGTCCCCATTAGGAAATTTCCCAGCAATAGTGAACCCTTGCTCCTGCATCCCACGATCTGCCAGAACAACCCTCCAGGAAAGAGAGATGTTAAACTACAGGGAGAAATCTAGAATGTAGGGAAACCATTCCCCGTAGGTCTAGCTAGTCTCTCTTAAATCACTGATAAGGCAGATTAAATTCTTGTGGCACGCTTGAAGGACTGCGGCCCTGTAAGGATCTGCAGGGAGATGCTTGATCTGACTGCTGGGAGGGACTCTGGGTCAGATGCTGATCTCTCCACCGATAGCAGTTATTCCCTCTGGGTGGAACTGGGTGAAAGCATACCAGGACTAAGGACGCAAAGCTGAGACAAAACATCACACGCATATCCTTGCGATGCAGGAGAAGTCCCTGTCACAACAACACGAATCCATGCATCCATCCATGCACCCACCAAATCACCCACTGAAAGGCAAGCACTGCTTCATGCTGGGGCTAAAAGTCAGACAGGCTCTTACTCCCTACCCTACTTGAAATCACACAACCACCTCGGCCTGCAGCTACAGCAATGGAGGTTCAGGTCCCAGAGCAGCCCCACAACCATGCAGGGGCGGTGCTTAGCCCAGAGCCAGGTCTTGCAGTACCTGCCCCTGGCTAGTCCCATAACCCTTCACCTGTGGGGGCTACCAGGCTTGCAGCCTTCAGACAACAAGAGCCAGGCAGCAGAAAGATTCTACACAAACTACCTTTTCCTCTTTTGGCTTTTCTGACTCTTCTATTTTTCTTTTCCAGGCCTAAAGATCTTTCAGCAAAGATCTAAACTGATGAGAGCTGTACACTGTGTGCAAGACACGGTGACTATTCAACAGCTCAGAGCAATTTCATTCCCACATTTTCCCTCTCCACCGCCTGGGACACTGAAATGACCTCCTTAAAAACAAAACAAACCAATGGCCCAAGTCTTCTAGTTCTTGGACTTCTCCACGCTTCAGATTAAAGAATACATTTTTTTTCTGACATATAACTGTAATGTCTTTATGGGGGAAAAACATAGAGTCCTACCCTTAACTTTTCTTTTTTTACATGTTACCTCACTGTCTTATTTAAAGACAATTTCCCAATTTTTGTCACTAGGATCAATAAGATTCTACAGAACTTAGTCATCACAGTCTTTCCTCCTTGTTTTACTTTTTCCACTCTGGGCTGACATTTTTGCCTGCGATGTGGAAATTTATGAATTATTGATCAACATAGGAAGTATCCTTCCCCAAAACTGGACCAAGAACTCCAGAAGCTGCCAGCAGCACCTTAGACCGTGGGAACGGGCCATCGGGGACTTGAGGCTGTGCGACAGACGGCTCGCGATCACCAGTGCTGGTCGCCCCAGTTCACTGCCCTGACACTGGCCCTGACCCTGGCCGGGGCTGGCTTCCCCAGGAAAGATGAGAGGCAGAGAGCGCTGAAAACAAAGCAGGCTCAAAAGGTGCTGAGCTCCCGCCTCACGTCACACCACTGCTCTCCTGAGAGCCAGGCGGGTAGCAGGATGCTGGGCGACCCCGACTGCCGAGGGCAGCGAGCGTGGGACAGGGACTGCGGTGGAAAGCCCGCGGCCGACGCAGCGCAGTTCTTCCCTAACTGCCCCAGCGGGAAGCCCAAGCTCGGCCGACCCAGACCCTGCACTGAGCTCCGGGCGCGGGCCCGGCACCCCAGGCCGGCTGCCCCGCGACACCCATCCCCGCTGGGCGGGTTCTGCACGGTCTGGGAAGCAGCCTCAGCGCTCCTGCAAGGTCTACGTGGCCTCCAGCGTGCCGCGCTCCACTCCGAAACCAAGACGTGAGAAGGAGCCAGAAAGCACCCACGACCACCCGCCCCGGGCGCCGAGGGTCGCGCCTCCCCCAGCAGCCAGCTGCAGCCCAGGATGTCTGCGCTGCAGGCGGAGGAAGCCGGGGCTGCCACCGACGCTGCCGCCGCGACCTCGGCGCCACAGCCTCCGCACCTGGCACGGGCGCCCGCGAGCGCACGC